ATGGGCCCTATAATTTCTATAAAAGAAGATGGATGTTAATGTAACTAAGAAAGGGCTGTTATCATTTAAATATTTATTTTAAGAAGTTTTTGCTTTCTCTCACAAAAAGGAATATTTTGCTGACTTATATGTTGATATATTGACCACATAAGACTTGGTTGGAAAGTTTGTAAGGAGGACATTCTGAGAAAAGGAAAGTGTGCAGAAGGCCACCTGCCCTGCTTATTGGAATTCTGACTTAAGGGAGTGCCAAAGGCGGTGCCTCTAGTTATTCCTTGACCTTTCCAAACAAGTCTGTGCACAAGCAGACTCCCAGGTGTTTACTGGAATCCTTATACTTAATCTTTTGGGTGTCCTTGCTTAAAAGACACTACAAACACATGTGTCCTCCCAAGATTATTTTCCCTACTGATTGTATCTAAAATATACACTTTATCTCAAACTGCTGATACAATAAAAGCCTAACAAGGCAGGCAATCAGGATGCCTGATTTCTTTAGCCAGGCAGTCCCTTAGATCTCTCTTTCACAGGGTCTGCTGGTCAGCTTCAGCATCGATATAGGTCAGAGATATAAAAATATATATATTTTGGAAATAAAATATGTGAAGATTTTATTAATATCTTCCATTTATCAAACATTCACTAACTACCTTCTACTCTGCTAAGTACTAAGGAATGGTTATATTATTGTGATACTCTAGGAAGTTACAATATCCTCAAGAAGGCTATATAAATAAAAATAAATTATTTATTGGAAGGTAAAGCATAATAGGAGTTATAAATAAGTGAAAAATGCAGTGGGAAGGATAAAAGTGATGAGTGATTAATTCTGTTGGGAGAGAAAGAAAGTTTCTAAGAAAGTTATAATATTAGATTTGGGTTTTGAAAGATAAGTTGGGTTTACACACTAAAACACAGGACATTCCATGAAGAGAGGGCAGCATAAGCAAAGGCACAGCTATGTGAGAGTGAAGGCCAGTTGTGAGGAATGGCAATGGCCTGGTGTGACAACAGGGGCTGTAGGGAGGCTGGGCTGATGGCAGGGGCATTTGAAAAGAAGCTTGAAGTTAGTATGTAGAAGGCCTTGGATGCCATGCAAAGGAAAGTAGATTTTATACTATCCTGTATAATAAAAGCCCAAAGACCACAATGACAGAATGACCAGAATGATCACTCAACCAATCACTATGAGGGACATTGACCACCTCTTGGTCCCTTTCTCCGGCTGGCAGGCTCCAATCACTGATGGCAAACAGGGACCTGGGGTGGGTGGTGGGGATATGGGTGATCATGCCAAGGCCCCTGTCCTGCTGGTTGTCCCACACACAAGGTGACCAGCGGCGGGGATGGGGCTGGCGGGTGGGCAGGAATGGCCAACCTCTCTGTCCCTCCCCTGGCTGTCAGGCTCTCACTGCTGGATGGTGAACTGGGAACCAGGGTGGGAGGTGGCAGGGGGCAGGGCTGACTGCCAGCAGCCAGGGAAGATGGCCTTGATCATAGACTAGGCCTGGGAACCAAACTCATGCATGATTTCATGTGCTGGGCCTCTAGTAGGCAAAAGAAGCCTTTCAAGCCATTGGAGCAAGTCAGAAACATGTCAGCACGTGTTTTAAAAAATAACATTGGTGGCAGCATGGGAGCTATTAACAGAGGAGGAGATTGGTAGCAGTTTCCCTTTTTTTTTGTATGGATTTGATTTTTCCTCCTAAAATAAAATGAAAAGATGCAGTTAACTAGTCTTTGGCACTGTCATCATGGAGTCCTGGACTCAGAATTTGTTTTAGTACACCAATAGCTGAAACAAAGGCCAAGGAATTGGAATGTCCTGGTTTTGTATTTCTCTTCTGCCACATATTTGATCTTTGACTGTGTAGGTCCACAGGACTTTCACGACCTTCAGCTTCCCCACATTAGAAATGAGATTACTGTACAGAGATTATATAAAGACTAGTGGCCCAATGCATAGATTCATGGACATTAAAAGGAAATTAATTAGAAGAAATATTTTAATATCACTATTTGCCCTTTCTCTATAACATGTCAGAGATGAAAGAAAATTACTAAAATGTATATAAAAATAATATATAAAATAGTAAATAAACAATAACATCATGATATAACAACAAAGACATAACACCTTTTTTTCTTTATTGATTAAGGTATTGCATATGTGTCCTTATCCCCATGTTGCCCCATTGCATTCATGCCCTCACTCCCCTGATGTCTGTGTCCATTGGTTATGCTTATATACAAGTCCTTTTGTTAATCTCTTCCCCTTACCCCTGCCCACTCCTACATTCTGTCTGAGGTTTGACAGTATAATCAACGCTTCTTTGACTCTGGATCTGTTTTTGTTCATCAGTTTATATTGTTCATTATATTTCATTAATGAGTGATATCATGTGATATTTATCTTTCTCTGTCTGGCTTATTTCGCTTAGCATAATGCTCTCTAGTTCCATCCATGCTGTTGCAAATGGTAAGAATTCCTTCTTTTCAATAGCAGCATAGTATTCCATTGTGTAGAGGTACCACCGTTTTTTAATCCACTCATCTGCTGATGGGTACTTAAGCTGTTTCCAAAACTTAGCTTTGGTAAATTGTGCTGCTATGAACATAGGGGTGCATATATCCTTTTTGATTGGTGTTTCTATTTACCATCACAACAAAAAAATTAAGATACCTAGGAATAAACTTAACTAAGAAGGTAAAAGATTTATATTTGGAAAACTATAAGACACTGAAAAAAGAAATAGAAGAAGACATAACAGATGGAAGAGTGTACCGTGTTCATGGATTGGTAGAATCTACATAATTAAAATGTCCATATTACCCAAAGCAATCTATAGAGTCAATGCACTCTCCATTAAAATACCAAAGGTATATTTCACAGACCTAGAATGAACTCTCCAAAAATTCATCTGGAATAAAAAAGACTCAAAATAGCTTCAGCAATTTTGAGAAAGAAGAACAAAGTAGGTGGAATCTCAATACCAGATATCAAGCTATATTACAAAGTCACTGTTCTCAAAACTGCCTGGTACTGGAACATATAGACCAATGGAACAGAATGGAGAGTCCAGGAATTGACCCAAACCACTATGCTCAATTAATATTTGAGAAAGGAGGCAAGAACATACAATGGAGTCAAGACAGTCTCTTCAATAAATGGGTGTTGGAAAAATTGGACAGATACATGCAAAAAAAAAATGAAACCAGACCACTATCTTACACCATACACAAAAATAAACTCAAAATGGATAAAGGACTTAAACATAAGATGCAAAACTGTAAAAATATTAGAGAAATTTGATACAGCTCCTATGGCAATGGAAACAAAAGGGGCTATATCAAGATAAAAAGCTTCTGTGCAGGGAAGTAAACCAACAAAACAACAAGAAAGCCCACTGCCTGGGAGAATATATTTGCCAGTGTTATCTCCGATAATGGTTTAATTTCCCAACATTTACAGGGAACTCATACAACTTAACAAAAGAAAAATAAACAACCCAATAAAAAAATAGGCAATGGATCTAAATAGAAACTTTATAAAAGAGGGAATAGGAAGACCAAGGGACATATGAAAATATGTTCAAAGTCACTAATCATCTGAGTGATGCAAATCAAAATGACAATGTGGTACCATCTAACACCTGTCAGAATGGCTATCACCAACAAATCAATAAACGACAAGTGCTGGTGAGGATGCAGAGAAAAAGAAACCCTACTGCACTGCTGGTGGGAATGCAGACTGGTGCAGCCACTGTGAAGAACAGTGTGGAGTTTCCTCAAAAAATTGAAAATGTAATCCCATTTGACTCAGTGATCCCAATTCTTCAACTGAGTTATTTCAGCCCTGTCAACACACATTTAGAAAATAGGAAACCATTATCTTTTTTTATGTTAACTAAAGAAATTGATGAGAGAATATTATATATTACTTCAATTATATTTATTTTTATTTTATTATCAGGATTATTGATTCTTCAAAGAAGTGGCTCATGATCAGTCTTAGTGACCTGCAATAAATCAAAGTCATACAGTTATTAATCCTAATGGGTCTTTTGCTTGTAAACTTACAGTTTCTTTTTTTAATAATCTTTATAGTCTACTTCCCCTCAAGTTATCTGATAATTGACAGACCATTAACTTTGTTTTTGATATAATAAGATGATAAGAGTCTCTATTATAGCTGGAACATTCAGCCTTCAGAATTTTTATAACCATGTGACAATCATAGACTAAGTTTAGAGTTTTAAAATTAATTAGAAAAATACATAATTTCCCAAGACATAGTTGGAAGATAGATTCTAGATTCAAAAGTCCATTTGTTAAGATTTGAACTTTGGTTAAAGTTTTGCTTTTTTTAGCCTTTTGATTCATCCCCAACATACACAGATGTTGATTGTAGTAGAAAAATGTTAAAAACATTTTATAAAAATATTTTAATGAGAAATTGTTTCTATTACATCACAGAAAATGAGGGATTTAAACTATGTTGATTGGATCATGGAAGAACACATGTATGTACCTCTGACACCCGAACAATCTGTATCAAAGAAAAAAAGATTGAAACAAATGCTCTAAGTTTAAAAATTTGTAATTTTAGTCTTAGCCAGTTTGGCTTAGTGAATAGAGCGTCGGCCTATGGGGCCTATGGACCAAAGAGTCTCAGATCTGATTCTGGTGAAAGGCATGTACCTTGGTTGCAGGCTTCTCCCCAGCCCTGGTCTTGGTTGGGGTTTGTGCAGGAGGCAACCAATTGATGTGTTTTTCTCACATCGATGTTTCTCTCTGTCTTTCCCTTTCTCTTCCACTCTCCCTAAAAATCAATGGAAATATATTCTTGGGTGAGGGTTAACAACAACAACAAATTTGTAATTTTATTTTTCATGGAATGATGCATTCCAATCCAGACAACAAACTTAAAAAAATACATGCTTTGTACTTTGTATACTTACCACTTATTTTATCTTAAATTGCACTGGGACATTTTTTGTTTACTGTCCACTAATAGGTGTAGGGTCAGGTAGAGGTATTGGAATAGGGAAGTAGTAATATCTAAACCATGGGTATCGTTGATATAGGAATGGTGGATATAGACCAAATGGATATTGGTAAGGAGGCACATAATACTGAAAGGGTAATTCATTGCTCCCACTCACCTGTTGGAAAAAAAAAAGAAATTAAAAGGGTCGTTTTATCTTTGAAAAGGAGAGATATAAAATAGTCTTTTAACATGTGGATCTTAGGCTTTAGAAGCTCTAAAATAATTTACCTTTTCTATATGTACTGTGAACAGGAATTTGGTTAATTTGCATCATTTTGGATAATTTTAGGAAATTACTTAGAGGTAACTTATTTTCTTGTATTTTTATAGTCGTAGCCAAATTTTTCTGATAATTGCTTCTATAATTATAAGGTCAAGAGAGAGGGGGTGGGTAAGAGGGCATTAAATTTCTCCCTTTGCCTTTAGACAAGGTCTTTACCCAAACCATCCATTAAACACACTCTCCTTTTTATCTCCTCTTTCTCCCTTTTACCCCTCTCCATTTTCTATTGACATCTTTATCAAATTCTGTATAGTTTAGCCTAAAAACACTGTATAGTTTGAGCCTAAAAACCATGCTTCTTTTCGGTAATAATATTTTTGAGTATAAACAAATTCTTAAATAAAGCTCCTCCTTTTCAAATTTTCTTTCCTCTTTAAATTATTTTTTTGATTATTTGTTTAGTCCCAAATGGTCTTTTTTTGTGTGAATTTAACACTGGAGAATAGTAAGATTTATTATTATTATTGTTTATTATTATTATTATTATTATTATTATTATTATTATTATTACTAGAGGCCTGGTGCATGTAATCATACATAGGTGCAGTCCCTCAGCCTGGCCAACAACTGGGGCTCATCAGGCTGACAGGCCTGGGGGAAGGATCACAGGAGGTTGGCTGTGGGAGCACACTGACCACCAGAGGATAGCTTTTGCATTGAGTATTTGTCTCTTGGTGGTCAGTGCACGTTATAGTGACCAGTCAATTGGTTGTTTGGTCGTTTGGATGCTTAGGCTTTTATATATAGAGATTATTATTAACTTTCCCTGGAATGGACTTGGGAGAGTTAAAGCAGAGTAGGGGCATGAGCAATTATGAGCCTTCATTAGGCTTGATAATTTTAGAAAAAGATATAACAATTCACTACGCAGTGGTTCATGTTTCAGTATGTATCCCACTGTTACATGCAATGCTCAGGTAATTCCCTTCTTATAAGCAGAGATCAAATCCCTGAAGTCTACATTGTTGAGTGCTAATACTTAAGCTCTTTAAGAATTTCTCTAGAGTTTGAGAAGTTTGAATAAGGGAGTATTTAACTATAGTTACAGATATTTCTCATGGAAATCTTACATGTTAAAAAAGAGGAAATTAACTTACACTTCGTGGTTCTCTTTCCTGGTCTTGGGAGACCTAAAGTTCAAATAATGAAATTAATTCAACTCATGAGAATGAAGCACATGAAATAACACACACACACACACACACACACACACACACACAACACACACACACACACACACACACACACACACACACACACACACACATGAAGGGAAGAAATAGACTACCCATTACCTAACTCTGAGTATTTGTTTTTAAAAAATCCAGGGTTTTCATATCCAGAAAATATTGTAGGAACTATTTTTCTGAAAAAAAGATCTTAATATGTATTTTAAATGATTCAAATTCACAACTGTAGTGAGGCTATGTAGACTTGAGCTATGCAGTGAACAATACATGATTTATAATATTTTCTAGACTATAATGTTTATGTTAAAAGATAAAAAAATAAGTAAGTGGATTATAGCAAAATCATCACAGATGCTAAGCATGCTTATAAAGAATCATACTGTGTAGAGGGGGAAAAAATCTTAGGATTCCTGATTAGAACAAAAAATTAGTAAATATTCTGGAGTGTAGAATGGATACTTACCGGGAAACCAAGAGAGACTGCCAAGATGGCTGTGATCAGAAGAAGAACTTTCATCTTATGCAGAAATAGCCTAAAAGTTAGCAAAAAGACAAAATGTTTGCATAAAATCAAGTGATCCACTTATAATTTATATTGTATTATCAATAGCTCTTTGATGTTAATCAAGACACTTAACAATCTTGGGGCCTCAAACTATTTGTTAATGCAGAACATTATTCCAGGTAAAATCAAAGTTACTTTATAATTTTACAACTATTACATCAAATATTTTAAAAACAAACATTCACATATTATTGAAGGATAATACTAATCTTAACACAATAATAAAATGAGTTTCTAAAATGAAATATTACCTCGATTTATAAAAAGAATGTCAGTGTGGGGGTTAAGATCCCAGAAAGTTTAAACAACATTCCATATAATAATGACCAAAAAAATTAATTTAGGTGAAAGAATTATTTGCACCAGTTTCTAGACAACCCAAAAGATTTCATGGTGTTTCAGGGGCCAATTATTGACATTTGGCAAAGGGTATTTCCAAAGCATTTTGTTTTATTTTAATTTTCATTGTAAACTCCTTATGACTAGAGGCCCAGTCACAAAATTCGTGCAAGGGGGTGTATGTGTCCCTCAGCCCAGCCTGCACCCTCTCCAATCTGGGACCCCTCGAGGGATGTTTGATTCTACTAGGATCAGGCCTAAATGGGCAGATGAACATCTCTCTCACAATCCAGGACTATAGGTCCCCAAGTGCTCGCCTGTCTGCCTGCCTAATTGCCCCTAACCACTTCTGCCTGACAGCCTGATTACCCCCTAACCACTCCCCTGCCAGCCTGATCAATGCTGAACTGCTCCATTGAAAGTCTGATTGCCCCTAACTGCTCTCCCCTGCAGGCCTGCCCCCTGCCCTCCTCCACTGCCATCCCCTGCAGGCCTGATCCCCCCACAACTTCCCTCCCCTACTGGCCTGGTCCCCCCCTAACTGCCCTCCCCAGATGGCCTAGTTCCCCCAACTGCCTTCCCATGTAGGCCTGGTCCCGCCAACTGCTCTCCCTTGCAGGCCTGGTTCCTTCCACTGCCCTCCCCTGCCATCCTGGTCCCCTCAACTGTCCTCCCCCACAGGCCTACATGGGAGAGCGATTGTGGGGAACTAAACTAGTCCTCCCAAACTGCACTCCCCTGCTGGCCTGGTACCCTCCTCCCCCAGCTGCCCAGCTCTGCTGGCATGGTCACTCCTAACTGCCCTCCCTGCAGGCCTTGTTACCCCTAACTTTCCTCCCTTGCTGGACTGGTCATCCCCAACTGCCCATCCTTGCAGGCCTGGCCTCACCCAACTTCCCTCCCCTTGTGGCCATCTTGTGTCCACATGGGGGCAGCCATCTTGTGTATTGGAGTGACAGTCAATTTGCATATTACTTTTATTAGATAGGATACTGTGCTATAATTAATATATTAGTTATGGTTGCTAATAAATATTTATGAAAATTGAGTTGAATTAAGTATTTAATTAATCACATGTTTATAGAGATCTGGACAATAAAACATAGAAACTTCTGCATTTAAAAATTTTGTCACTAATACAGTAAACATATACCTATTACTTGACTTCAAACATGAGTAGGTTATTTCCCCTAATTAATGTTATCACTAATCATTAACCCCCTTCTTTTAGTTTACCATTTTATTTATTTATTTTTATTTTTTAAATTTATTTTTATTGTTGCAAGTATTACAGATGTCCCCCTTTTCCCCTTTTGACCCCCAAGTCCACTCCTGCTCCCTTCCTCCCATCATCCAAGCCTCCAACACACTATTGTCTGTGTCCATGGGAAAGAAAAGGAGAGAGAGTGAGAGTGAGAGTTAGAATGTGAGAGAAAGAAACATCAATCAGTTGTGTTTTTAATCTGCCTCCTTTTGGTGTATCAGATGACACTCCAAACAACTGAGTCACAGTGGCCAGGGCCTTAATCCACTTCTTTGTCATGGTGCAGCTGCAGTAGAACTAGAGAATATATCAGGGGTGGGAGCCTATCAAGTTGGAAAGAGGGGTTGACTGAGGGACTTTTCTTCAGCTTGTCCTCATATATATTCACTTATTTGCATGTAAAGTATTTCTTGAGCTCCAAGTAAGAGTCAGACACTATTCTAATGTCAGGCATATATAGATTTGAGAAAGTTCCTGCTTTCAGGGACCTTAGTAAATACACTATTATAGGTCTATACATCACTAAGTTTTCTAAAGATTATTTAAAGTTTTGCATTGAGGAACATGTCAATTGCCTGTCACTATTTTTATTTTGGGGTGGCTTTGAGGTGCTTAATTGAGATTCTAGGGGGATTTTATCACCTCATAATGTTTCCTAAATATTTATGAGACTGAAGAATAAAATATAACAGAAAAAATGTACTCATCATTTGATCATATTGTCTTTAAATGGTGATCACATTGTCTTCATTGTTTATCATGTAGATCAAAACAAATTGAGATTTAAAAAAAACACAGATTATGTTATGATTGTGACAAAATGATCAAGTTCAAAATTCTATAGGAAAACTGGCAGTAAAGGCAATTAACAGTAAAAATGTTATATGTACACACATAGAACACACGTATGCTCCTCACAGACATGCATATACTCACACATAGTTTAACTTCCATGTGCAAAGCATTGTGCTAGGAGCTATCAGGGATTTATTGATTAAGCATGATTTCTGCCATCCGGCAGATAGTAAGAAAAGACAGATACAGATATTTTTATAATGTAAGGTAATGTGTCACAAACACTATACATAGAAATCACAAAAACTGAGAGCAGATAGAAGATAAAAGAGAAAAAAAAATCAGGAGACAATTTTAGAGAGTATAGAATTCAAGCTGAGCATTTACAACAGTAAGATATTCAAAATTTCAATAATTATTGAAAACCACATTAAGCAAAGAGTAAATGAGCCACATCTCAGACTTCTAGATCATGTCTTGTAGTCAGGACATAGCATAATTATCAACTATTTCTCCAGCTGCAGCACCAGAGCAGTATATGGATGTGTTTCTGAAAACATTAGAAGCATCTTCCTAGAGCATTAATTTTATACAAGAATTTATAAGAAAACCCTCAAGTAATTTTTATATTAAAATCAGCATGAAAGGTCACAAAGTGGAATATAAAGACAGCACATTTTAAAGGTAGAACAGGAGGCTACAAATAAAGCGGCAGTTGTTTATACTTTAGAGCAGTGGTCGGCAAACTGCAGCTCTTTGGCCCCTTGAGTTTTTGCAAAAGGCCAGCTTAGGAGTGCCCTAATTAAATTAATAACAATGCACCTACCTGTATAGTTTAAGTTTAAAAACTTTGGCTCTCAAAAAAATTTCAATCGTTGTACTGTTGATATTTGGCTCTATTGACTAATGAGTTTGCTGACCACTACTTTAGAGACTATCTGGTATTGCATGTTCCCTTTGCTGATGTGAGACCCATGCAATTCAAAATGATGAGCCTCACTCTGTAACCATCTCAGTGTGCCACCTGGCCAGCCCTTCATCCCCACAAAGAGGGGTTTTTTGTTGTTGTTGTTGTTGTTTGTTTGTTTGTTTTGGGGTCATTCTAAAATATACACTTACTATTGCTGGGTGAAGACTTTAAGAAAAAATTTTACTTCAAATGATTGTTCAATTACATAGATTACAAATTCCCAAGCAACCACTACATGACAGTATCAGTAAATCTTACCTGTGGCAGCTTACAGAATGTGTGTATATCTCTCTATCTTTTTCTATATAAATTATATATCTTAGTTTACAAGGGTATGTAAGACTTTTCTTACCTCAGACCTTCCAGTCAGTTTCTTCTCAATGATGCTGCTGTAGGAAATGGGAAATGACTGGCCTCATAATGCTACAGCTATTTTATTCACTCAGAAGTAAGTGGAATAAAGTCTGTGGCTTAAAGGCCTATCCCTGGGATCAGTGCGGACTCTGTTGAGTAATCAACCATCACAATGTGTTGAAATTGGGAAATAACCGGCATTTACAGTTTCATTGAAACTTTGGTTGAGTGACTACCAAATACATCTATTTGTGTTTTTTTTTGGAAATTGAATGTATCCTGCATATTGAAAGCTTATCACTTCACATAATGTTGCCCCTGCTTTTACTTAAACTTTGTCTTTACTTTCCCTAATTAAAACTTCCTTTTCTGAGCATCCTATTGAGAGTGATTATAATCTATTAGAAAACAATTTTTGGTAGTGTCATAATTTAAAGAAACAAAGAATCTTGAAAAATGTTATAAATGGGATGAAAACCTTTTGTATTATTCTGCTTTCAGCTCGTATGTTTTGGCAAGTAAGGCTAGAGTTTCTCAGAGCAATGAACCATATTTGGGATCATCAAAGCATTGTGGTTACCTTATGAAAAGCTACAACCTATTTTTTTCAGATAAAGGTTAAGTTAAGAGAAAGGATATAACCATCAGCCATAGGACTAAAAACCAGAGCCCTCAAAAAATTCAAGAACCACCTTAAATATGTGTGCCAAACTGTCTAAAACATGACTTTTTACTACCTACTTGAGAGCTTTCAAGACTACTAGATCCTTGAGGATAATTTCTATTTTAGCCTAGTTTATATGATCTATGTATCAATGTTTATTTTTCCTTCTGAGGAATTTTTTTTCAAGAGATCTCAGAAAAATAATGAAAAATAATGCAATAAAATTTAATTTCTTGAGAATGTTAAGTGCTCAAGCACAAATCTAAGCACTTTATCTGTATTACATCATTTCATCCTTAAAGCAACCAACCATGCTCTGGCTGGTGTGGCTCAGTTGGTTGGGTGTCATCTTGTGTACCAAGAGGTTGCTGGTTTTATTCCCTGACAGGGCACATGCCTGGGTTGTAGGCTTGATCCCCTGAGGGTGGGATCAAGCCTTCCTTTTATATAGGAAAGCATGCAAGAGGGAGTTGATCAATGTTACACTCTCCCATCTATTTCTCTCTTCTCCTTTCCTCTGCCTCAAAAAATCAATAAAATATTCTTTAAAAAACAAACAAACCAAC